CTTTGACAAGTCCTGCTGAAGTGGGCCCAGAAGCAGACTGGGTATACCGGGCCCCGTACTCGAACGTTGTTCGGACATATAAATGCAATGTCTGCAGCTATCTTGAACGGCGAATGTCTGGCCACTGAGCAGCCATTGATCCAACCTCCTCGAGAGCCCGTCCGTGCACGTGGGCGAGGACGAGGCCCTTCGTATTCTCGAGGTGGTCATGGTTGGGCAGCGGGTGGCCGAATGTATCGGGGTAGGGGACGTGCAGGGTGACCTGCATGTTCCACATCTTTTACCTTGACGGACATAGGCCGGAAGGTCAGAACATTGCAGCCGAAGTGCTAAACAAAGAGTTTTAATGAGGGTTGTCAAAGGCCGGCAGGTCATGTAACACAACCACGCTTTCTCTTCACCACACTTGTAGTGTTATCATGCAAACTGGGCATGTGGCAAATCGCACAGCCAGTTGTCGTGTACACACATAATGTTTCTGCTCCTGTATCCATACATAGGGACGAGGACGCCCCACTCCCTGAGGGGGACGAATGTTACGCGCACCGGTCTGATGTGGGGGACGCCCTACTAATGGCCTTTGGTGCGGGGGACGCCCTGCCCAAGATAACTATCCTCAACCCATAGGAACCATTGTAGGTAATACCTAATACTATTAGGATCCGGGAGTAGGAGGGGTGGTCCCGCCTAGGTCCCCGTAAGGACCTAGGTGCTCGGCGAGGCGGGTCCGCGGCTCAAAGAGGGCAGGAACCCCACACCCACATGCTTTACGTATTAGTACTATAAATATGGATTATACCGGCAATTATATAGGAACATGTAGTCTGTGTACTTTGGAATATTCCAAAATAATTACAGTGGCCTCTTGGATGTGCAGAAGCCTCTTGTGAATTTATTGATGATATAAGTAATATCTATTTTATGGAACGTGGTTTCAGTGTGCAAAATTTGGAATATGTACTTTAATTATATGAGGAACAAGGGCTTCCACATAATAGAGGTGGTCGAATATATTGAAGAAAGTAAGCAATAGTTTAATACATGCAAAAATCGAACGAAATGCACTTTGCCATGGGAATGGCAGTATTTTTAAGCATTCTCAAGTTTGAGTAATGTACATGAATATTCAGTGTTTCAATAGATGTGGAAAAATGGTGTATGGAAATATTTGGATATGCGGGCTATTATTATTCTTTATGCTTGGCATTTTGGGTTGCATATTATGCGATACATTTTGCCACTAATTCTTGATTGCCTTGTAGATTCTAGAACGTAGAGACTCCTTGGACAAAATGTGTATATTGGTATACCAATCAACATAGATCAAGCTTTCAATCCAGCAGTATCAAAGCTCAATTTTTACATTTATACAAAGTATTTGCCATATTTATGGATCAATGTGCAGGTATATCAATAGGGGACGCAGATGTGGATGGACAAACTCACCGAGCCTCCCAAAGACAGCGCCAAATAGTCAACGACGATTCGTGAAAATTCTGAAAGTGTGCCTTCCAAGTGTCTCTACCGCAGTCAATCATCTATTTCCCTTGCACTGTGGATTTCTTGTGTTCAGACATGCCAAACTCATAACGTCAATCCGAGAAAAGCAATTCCAATGGGCATTCCTATCAAAGACAGTGGAAGGGTTTGAAGTTAAACAATCCTTTCCTCACTCCAATTCCTCCCTCCCTCCCTCACACTCCACTCCACCACCTACTCCGCCCACTCATCTACCACCACCCACCCACCTAATTCCACCCACTCCACTCCACTCCACCCAATCTACTCCACCTACCCACCCACCTCCACTCCCACCTTGCACCGGCCCACCCACTCCACTCCACTCCACTCACCCACTCCACTCCACTCCACCCACTCCACTCCACCCACTCCACTCCACTCCAATTCCATCCCACCCACCGCACTCCACTCAATTCCACCCACTCCACTCCACCTACCTACCTACCTACCTACCTACCTACCTACCTACCTACCTACCTACCTACCTCTATTTTTACTCAAAAAGGAAGGGCCAGGAGCGATGGTGCAACTAAGAGCTTGCAGTGCACTCCAATATGGGGCAGCAGCGAGGATCAGCTGGTGAGAGACCATCTTCAAAACGCTCGTAGAATACCATGGGCAACTAGAATCATTCCGGATTGGAAGGTTGGGGCGCTGCAAATCGCAAAGGAATGTGGAGGTTTCAAGCCCACACCTGGGTGATAATTATGACACTAATCGATCGTTTTGTTGTTGAATCATGCTTGGTCAATCAATCAAAATTATTTACAATGACGGTTGATCCACCAACATGATCAAAACTAATGCGATTCATTTTCTTTTGGCTCAAAGAGTATGTAAAATACGCAAATTTGTATATCAAGGCAAGCAGGCTATTGTCGTCTCCTTGTGCTGCCCGAAAACAGCAGTGTCTATATTTCTGATTTAAATGCAAGATATTTCAACACATCCAAAAAAATCAATGCAAAAATCTAAATTACACTTTGTGTGATAATGTGATACTAAAGTATACTTCTGCGTGATTAGTCATGTTGGTGGATTAAGCAATCCACCAATATAATCCGGAATCCAGGATTTTGGAATCGCTGAAAGATCTTTCATCACTTCCAAGTATCTTTATTAGAAGGTGAGCAGGAACTGAAGCAAGAAGGGAATAATTCCAATTATTGGAATTCTATGGCAAAAACCAGTCAGTTGGAGAACTATTCTTGCACAGCGTGTGAAATTTACACTGCAAGAAAATGTTAACCAAAAGACGGCAAAGGTTGCACAGCTTTTTCCTATTTCGAAAATTTGAATACATTCAGAGCTTGTGTGAGATCAGCAAGTATCTACTAGTTATGGGACGTTGAGAAGCGGTTGGACCTTCCTAACTGCTATGTGACTTGCCTACAAGGCCCAGTAAAAACCCTTTTCAATCGTGACAGGTGAGGGAGGCCTGCTAATGAGACAATCCTTTGAGTGCCTTTCATTGCTTATTTGCATCCTCCAAGTCGACTTCGTGATCTATAGCAGCGGTTTCCCTGGCGCCTAAGATAGCCATGGCTAGCCAAATCGTTGATCGAAGTGGTTTGCGCCTAAACAACGACCAGTTCCCCAGTGCGGCTGCCAAACAAGCAACATATTCCACTTCTGCGTCAAGCTTTGTTTTGTTCCACGAAAGTAGCGACCACTCTGTTAACGTTCGTGCTGCAGCGTTGGTCCAGAATGCAACTAGGCCTCCGTTGAACCAGCTTTTCGGCTTTCCCTGCGGCGCTGTGCAAATGCCAGTAGAACCCTTGCAAACTCCTTGACTATATGAGTGTGGCGAGCGGGGGCTGCAAGGGTTGCTGTTGATTTTGCGACGTGCCCAAAAACCACAGCAAATATTGCCCACGCTGTGGGAATGTGGGTTGCAGGAAATTCTGCGTTTCTGTCGCCACCCGCCAGCTGGCGAAGACACTCCTTTCCGTGTGCCACTATTATGGACAAACTCTTCTTGAGAATTAGGAATTCACGGGTTCTGGTCTTCGCGTTTACACTAGATTCAATGATCAAATCGTGGACGCCGCTTAGCCTGGGCAAAATAGGAAGCTGACAGCTACCTCCTTGTTGCATACAAATTTCAATACGATGACGGTGGCCGCGGAACACGTGTGACTCGTTGGTGTCGAATGTTCCCACGACAGAAATGACCGCACGCTGAGCAACAATTTTGCACCTTGAAGCCAGGTCCCACAGTTCCACACAACCCTGCGGCGGAAGGGGGACCGCGCCCTCCCAGGCAAGTACGTCCCACACACTCGCCGCCGATCGGCTTGGCCGCGGCCCCTGTCCGCCCAGCGCGCGTCGCCAAGGGGCTGGCAGCCCGAATGAACGAATGCGTGCAGTGCGCCAAAGTGACATCGGGATACTGCTCATGCTACGTGTCCCGCTTGAGTTTAGATCGTCGGGCAGCATCAGCGCCTTTGAGTGATCTAGAAGGACCTCGCCCCGCGAGGCAAGCATAGGTTGGAGGCCGAGCGTCCGGCGTGCAGCACGGCTGTGCGTGTTGCGCCTAGAGCCCAGGGACACCTCCTTGGCCGCGCAGCGCGATGGGGATTGGATTTGAAAGGCGCATCACAACGTCGATGAGGAGGGAAGTGCCGAGGAAGCGATCTGTGCACTGCCCTTCATGTCATTGATTGGCACCTTGTCGGCTTCCACGACGAATGGTTGGGCGGACGTCGTAATTGTCAGATGCTGAAAATGCCAGCGAATGGCGATTTGAATTTGTTTGCGAACAAGCTGGAAGAGGGCGGAGCTTTTAAGCAATGATCCAATGTTTCTGGTGGACGCAGTGAGCCAATCCTGTAGTTCAGTAGTTTGGGATCAGTCCTGCACAAATAACTGCGCCAACAGAACAGCTTGCAGCCCAAGACTCTGGTGCCGATTCGTTGCTGCAAGTGTTGGGGTTCTTGGCTGCAGCTTTTCCATAGAGCTGTACAGGCAGAGCATGAATTGGGGAAAGGGAAAGGAATTGGTTTAACAACAGTCGCCATCGACACTGAGGATGGGATTTGTGCAACTACAGCGAGCCCTTGCAGTTTGATGCTGGGACAAGATCTGTTGGTCCGACAATGTGGATCATTGCAGGACTGTTGCTGGTACTTGCAATTGCTTCCAAGCTTCTCCTGTTGCTTGGTCAACGTGGGGTCTGTGTGGAACACAAGTAAACACTTGTGCTGTTTGACGAACTGTACATGGTAAAAAGACACGTGTCATGATTCCTTTGTCCTTTTGCTACCAGTGATACACCAATCCAACCTCCTCTTGGAACCCGTTGCCCAGATCTGCCTGCACAGCTCCAAACGGCACCCTTATGCCTCACAGATGATGTTGAACTGTTACATCTTGAGCTACTCCTGCAATTTGGGAATGATCTATGGTGCTGTCAGCCAAGTGATCATCACTATGCCTGGGAATCCCGTCGTCTCAAATTTGTGTGGTTGCTGTCCCAGGTTGAACGTGCCTCTCCTGCCTGCAAACCATCTTCTGTCATACAGTGTTGCTCGAGGCTCCATTGCTGGAGAAGGCACACAGCCGCCGTTCTTGGACGTGTGATCAATGGGAACAATTCCTCAACCGCCATTAGCACTGTGAGTGGCTACCTCTCTGCATTGCTGTCGCCTGCTTTGTTGTTCAGTTGCATTGAAGCTCAGCCCCAAACATCAGATGGCATTCGGTCCATGCAGGTCATTGTCCTGTGTGTTCACAAGTTGAAATGGGGCTCCACTGTAATCTGCCAGCAAGCAAAAGCTGGGAGAGCAAAGAGATGCCGCCCAGTGTCATGAACTGAATTATTCCAAAACTTGAGCCTTGTTTACATGGTGGTGTATTTTTCTTGATCCACCTGATGTGTATGACTGCCTCTCAATAACGGGGAAGAGTCCAGCACGATTTCACTGTGCAATTCCTAGTGCATGACATGTTTCACTGCCCGCCATTTGGCTCCTGTTAAAATGCAGCAACTGCACCTGTTCACAGCAATGGCAGCATGGGTGCTGGAAGAGTGCAGAGTTTTCTCAGGTTTGCTTAAGGGAATTTGCTATTGTTTGTGTGATGGTATGACTTCCTCCAGGCTTCTTGTTGCAGCGCATTTGATCCCTGAGGTGAATTTCTGGTTGGTCTCAACAGTCGTATTCTTGTCTCATTCATGCTATGGTCAAATATGTCATGCACATTTGCAGGATATGGATGCACACACACAGAAGCCGGCACATTGTGGACAATTGATGATACTTCGTATAATATTGCTTGCAACCTGACAGTTGAACATGGCTGGAACATAGAATGGTGAAGGGCAAAGGGCTCTGGCAGTTTGGAAGCAGGCATATGTTAAGAACGACCAGTTGCCCATGTAAACAGTTTCGGGCATCGCCCAACAGATGCCAAGGCATGCATCTGTAAAATTGCGATCACTGCCATCAGTACTGTGTTCTGCTTGACATAACGACAACCAAATGATGTGCATTGTGGCCTGACTGCATCTGTCCCCATGTTAAGATTAATGATTATCGTTCCAGCTCAGCTCAGATCAGATCAGGCAATCGTGAGCAGTGCTGTATCTTGGTCTGTGTCTTACGTCTTATGCTGTGTTGCTATCAACATTTGATGTGCTGTATGCGAACGTGAAAACCATAACAAGCAGCGAACGAGACCTGGAAGCCAGTTTCACTGGATGTTGGACAACAGCATTCGATACAACATTCCTTTGAGACAGTACCCATGCATACAGCTTGTTATTTGGGCCTTGGATGGCATATTCCCAGAAAGTGTTTACATCTCCTGTGGTGAATCATCTTTTGTCCCATTTTTCAAAGGGCAGGATGAAGCACAGCCCTTGTGCCTTCCAGGCGACGTCAGGTGCTGTCCTCAGACAGAAAGCAGTTTTTTTGAAGAAATTTGCTCACACACCCTGCCGAGCAGTCTGTATGATGCATCCGTTAAGCCAGAAAAGAAACGAAGAAAGGGAGCTCCCAGAAACCATAAGGGAGGCAAGGTGAGTCAGAGATGGCATTCCATCTGGCAGTTTGCAGCAATGAGCACCAGCGCAGCCGCCGCGAGCCCTTGGGATTTCCGAAGAGTTTACTGAAACATAGCACCACTACAGTGACATCCTCAGCAACTGTTGAGGCAGTTTGCTGGTGTAAGTGCAATGGGGATCTGGCTTCCAGCTTCCTGCCTTAATGTGCACTGTCTGTTGGTGGACTGACCCAGGCATGCTGCTTCCGGCAAGACAGTGAATCTGATCGTGATGGCACCCAAAGATGCTCCCCATTTGGACTCCCTCAAGACACTGCCAGCCTGTTTCCGCATAGTGGGCATTGGCTGCACTGTTGCAGAGCTGTCCAACTTGGAGTGCAAATGGGAGTCAGTGGATGTCATGCTCGTGTACGCGCTGTGGCTGGCTTTCGTCAACGACATCAAGGTGGGTGCAGCTCACAATGCCTAGGGAACTTTGAGAGTGGCTCACTCTTCAATGACATGAAGGTGTTGAGCTCAGGCTGCTAAGTGCTATACTGTACAGCTGTACCTGGTAAGCACTGTTTGGTAATGTTGTGCTGTGCAAACACCACGAAATCAAGGGTGGCACTAATGTCTCAATAGTCTGGAAGTTCTTTCTTAGTTGGCACAGCTCTTGTTCATCTGGAAAGTGAATCGATATGTACTCATCTCCCAAGTTCTGCACATCGCTATTGCACATCTTCATTACCCCAATTTAGCTTTTATTTCGAAGTATAATTTATGTGATCCATAATTTTCTGTAAAATTTCCAGCAGACATATTTGATTTACATGACTATACAATGTGTATAACAACTGAGTTTCGTACAAATAAGAAATAGTAGTATTGGTAATTCTAGAGATGCAACCAGGATCTTAAGGAGATCTGCTCTTGCGCGATCTGCAAACTTCGCCTAGGAAAATTCAATTTTTCCATGCCATCACATTGCTTGGTGGATCCCCACAAATTGGGTTGGATTCATCATGCAATGCGGCATTGTCCCTTTGCTGCAATTCAATCATGAGCCCATGCACCTGTGCCCATCCAGAGACAGTTATGCATGCTGGGTTTGGCCCCAAGCAAAAGAGTGATAACGCCAAGGAGTTTGATGTTCTACATTGATTTGGACGTGATTTGCGGAAATTCCTTCTATATTGCATTGTGCATCTCGTTGCAGTGTTTTTGTACCAGCACATAAGCGTTTTCCATGTTTTGTGGTTGTATGGTTTGATTTAGTACACTACCATCATTCGCGGTTTTATACATGCTGCTGCTCTTCTGTATGTTTTGGGGCGTATTGTATGTAACATTGAAGCATGTTGTGCAGTGATGTACTGCACTGTATATAATGGCACTGCGCTGCCACATCGCGGTGCAGTATTATGCGATGTATGACATACTTTGCCACGTGAGATAAAAAGCATCCTGCACACATCATGCTCGTGAAACTGATATCACGAGCTTTGAAACTTCAAAGCACTTCACACCATCAAGTATGCTGTTTGAATGGAAATTTGGATATACTGTTGGCACAGGTTTAGTGCATTGAATTTGTACATCTGCATTGACATTTCTGTCAAATTATCACTTACTGAGCACTTATTGTAATTTTGAAGATGGGACTCTTGACATGCAGGCGGTATTTTCCAAGGCATCCAATCTGAAGTGGCTGCACGTCGCTACGACCGGCGTGGACCACCTGATGGCCCCGGAAATTGTCGATAGTGACGTCATCATCACCAACGCCCAGGGTAGCTTCAGCCACTCGCTGGCGGAGTGGACCCTCGCGGCGTGCAACTGGTTCGCCAAGGATCTGCCGAGGATGAGGGCGTCGCAGAAAATGAAGAAGTTCGATCCATTCGAGGTGGGAGGGAGGGAGACACTAAAGCGGCAGTACTGCACACTGGTTGTGCACATTTCAGCCTGTGTTTCTGGCGTGTCAGTGTGCTGATAGTCGGGTATTGGAAGTGTAGATTGCTGTAAAATTGCTCGAATGTTGTTGGCCCAACCGGATAATTTTGGTTCCGTTTTCTCGCTAATGGAACAAGTCGTTGATCACATTGTTCAAGGGCAACGGAACGCTGGATTTCGCCTGCAAGGGGATGCGGGAAGCAATCCGCGTTGCTCCACGACGATCTGTGTCGATATGAAGCGATCCTCTTCTTGTCTTTGGGGCCGCGTGCTCATGGAAATGCTGGTCGTGGCCCGTGCTGCAAACGTGCGGCGATTCTTGAAGGGGAACGAAACGCGCATCCAACGGCGCATTTGAACGGCTGGGCCTTCCGACGCTGGCGCACACCTCCCTTTGCGCACATTTATGGTTGTGCTTATTGTGTGTCACAGCGCTCAAAATCGCGCATTCATGAGCCATTTGGCATGCATAAGTATGTCCTTAAACGGTTGATATATACTACGGAAGTACTGTGGTGAGTCGCTGTATTGCGGGAAGAGATGGCATACTGTCGGCCCTAGTTTTGGCTCCAATCTTACCCGGTGTCTTGCTGGTGCACGCGCAGGTGGAGGAGCTGCGGGGGAGGGTAATGGGCATTGTAGGCCTTGGGGATATCGGCTGCGCCGCTGCCAGGCTGGCGAGGGCATTCAAGATGGGTGTCGTGGGCATGAGAAGGAATGCGCGCCTTTCTGCAGAGGAGCAACAGGAGGGACTGGTGGTGGGGAGACGTTCATTGATCGATTGCTGTGCGTTTGACGATCGCAGGCGGCTCACAATTGATCGATTGGTGAAAGCAGTGATGTTCGCAAAATAGATAACATTGTGCAGTGCGTTGATGATTGCAGACCCGGCTCACTGGTTGGGTCACATATGCAAGACAGCATGTTGGGAGTCCAGGTCGTTTTGAAAAGCCGTTGTGTGCCAATCGCCGAGGCCTGGCATCCGCGTCCTGATTGGCCTTTGGAAAGGTTGCAACAGGCTCATCCTGGCGCCAAAGGGATTATCAACATGGCACGATTTTGCCCAATGACCACTGCACAAACATGAACTGCAAATCTTCAGCGCAGTACAATTGATTCCAAATGCAATGCCAATTGTGATGTTGTATTTTGAAATCAAGAAAACGAAACGACTTGACACGATATAGAAACGGCTGGCGGCTTTGCAAGACGTCCAAAAAGTTCTTCGCGTCCCCTTCGCCTTCTTTGCCAGCACAACAGTTCTGCGCTGCTATTTCAATCCGGACAAGAAAATCCTGTCGCGGCTGGAAAGATAATTGCATGTGCAAGAAAGCTGCGTTCGTGGGGTGCTGAAAAGAGAATGTCAAATTTGCTGCACATGGTATTTCTGCTCATTGTTCAGCTGCCTGTTCATGTTGCAGTAATAGGTGTATGCGTGTGCGCGCCTGCTACCATAGCGGGATCCATAATTAAATAGAAAATGAGAATGTAAAATGAAAATTAAAAATGAAAATGAGAATGAGAATGAGAGTGAAAATGAGATGTAGCCGCGCTTCACCGCAGGACAAAATTTACCCTCCTGAGGAGATCTGCTCCATGATGTCTGCTTGCGATTACGTCGTGGTGGCGCTGCCAATGACGTCACGCACCGACAAACTCGTCAGCAAGGCGGCCATCCAGGCCATGAAGCCCAACGGGGTGCTCGTGAACGTCGGGCGCGGGAAGACTGTCGACGAACAGGCCCTCATCGAAGGTTGGGCGAAATGCAGCATTCGCTCTCAGGCAGTGTAGAGGAAGGCACAAAAACGCGTTTCTGCTCATTTGCTGCGGGATGCAATTGCGTACGTCAATTCTGTTTTGAGTTCATTGGCGTTGGCATGTTTGTAATCTGCGATCCGCGACCTGCGAAATCTGTTTCTCAGTTAAATGCGTTCTCAGCTAGGTGTGCAATGCAAATCTTGCGATATTCAGGGGAATGTACGCAATCCTGTGACTGGGTTAGATAACTGGAAATGATGGGAATGTCCAGGCTCCTGGCACTCCAGCTGGTTTCGATATCAAAGATACTATATTATACGTACTATATTATATAATACAAATTTTATATTATATATACAAATATATTACATATACTATATTATGCAGTCTCTGCCGAGAGTGAACCCTTTTGCGTGCCGTCTGCTTGCGCAGCTCTCCAGAACAAAGCCATCCGGGGCGCCGCTCTGGACGTTTTCGAGAAGGAGCCCTTGCCCGAGGACAGCCCCCTTTACGACCTGGACAACGTCCTGCTGTCCGCGCACTCCGCCTTCAAGACGCGGACGTTTCGCAGGGACGCCCTGCAGAGCTTCTTGGACGCTGCCGAGCGGTACGCCTCGGGCCAAGCGCTGAGGCACGTCGTCGACAAAGACGCGGGGTACTGAAGCGCGGCTGGTCGGTGTCACGCCATCGGTGGTCTTGCTTCAGGCGGAGGCGGTGCAAGGCTCCATGCTATGCAGCAATGCTGCACTTGCATGTGTCGCTATCTCTGCAAGGGTGCTTGACACCCTTATGCCGTTGAACGGCGCTGTAGAATGGTACAAGAGAGGCAATTTAGTGTCGAGGGGTATGTCGGTTTCCCCAAGAATAGGTTTGTGGCTTGTGCTGCCACTTCGATTGCTTGCGGGTGGAATTGGGGAATGTGGACAGGGGCCGGCATCGCCCGGTGGTTATTTGGGATGTGCTTTGTGGTGTTGGGGTGGTGTTTTCAGATTGTGAGGCAGGGATTTTTCTGGCATTGCCGAGATGCGCTTAGGGCTTCGCCAAATTGGCAGAATTCGTTCTGATCATTGATGTCAGGCAAGGGGAGAAAGTGTCTTTCATGGGGTTCGGCAATTGGAGACGATAATGCTTGTTCATGTTTTGTTCATAACCCACGGGAATGTCCAGCCTCAGGGCGGGGACGGGATGCGAAATCTTCCCATTGAGCTACTGCTTGATTTCAGTGGCTGAATCTCTCAATGCATCGAGTACGTTTTAGAATCGTTGATGGATCGATTGGCTCCTTGGCTGTTATGGGAGCGTTGGATTGACATGAAATAAAGAACCGGGGAAGTTTCAGTTATGATGTGAAATTTCGATGGCATTGACATCTTTACATTTGTCTGTTGTTATTGCCGATTCTGTATATTTCTCGCATTGCATTTGCTCTTAAGACACAAATTTTGTGTTTCAAAATGCGAAAGCTTGCATTTTGCCCGCACTCTAAATCCACCCCTGCAAACTGTTACGTGAATTCCAGAGCCAAAAATCTAGTGATCTTTTAGGGCGTGTTAAGTTGGGCTTATTTCTTCTGATGTCAGCACAACCTGCAAGTCCATTTGCACCCATCAAGTTTTTTTTTCATGTTCAGTCACTTCCAGGATGAAACGAAGCCCTGGAGCAAAGTTCCAGCGTCCCCTGATGTCCCTCGACTTTCTTCTAAGATATTCTTTTCCCGCACCGCCTTGGAGCTTGCTACCATTTTGCATTTGTATAGCTTGGAGCAGCCTCGATTAGTAATGGATGCAATTGATCGTTTTCTTTGATATTGGTACCCAAGGCAACACTGCACTGGCAAGGCTCGCGTAAGGTGTCGTTGAGTATCAGTATCTTAATGGCTTGGATCCAGCGTATTTCAAACATGTGCATAATTTTCAACGCAGCTTCCCTAGTAGGGTTGGCCCCGCCTTGTGGCGCACAAATTTGAAATTCTTTATATCTGTTCATTGCTCAGCATCTCTCTTCAGCGTTGAATGCACCGTGTGCGTCAAAGTCGTATCACCAGTACAACTTGAGGTTGAGCCTTGAACAGCAGCTAAACAACGTGAGCGTAGACGGCGGATGCATGGAAATACGGCGAAGTGCAGCGCATCCTTGCTCCAATTCAGGCAGGCGCCGTCGTCGCCATTGGTTGATTGTATGTTAATCAACTGACAAATGATCAAAGATGTTTGGAAAATGGGTTAATATTCTTATTGATTGGCGCCAAGGGGGGGTATTTAAACCCTTGCCGATCCACCCCTTGCATCAATTCTGTGCCGACCAGCCCGAGACCTGGCGCCCTTCCCAGCTGTCTCAGAATTCGCCCGAAAGCCCCTCCCCCCTCGCCCTCCGCTTTTGGCAACTCCCGCCCCCCGGCGCCGCTGCCCTTGACAGCCGGCCCCAAGGAACTGCTCACTTCGGCCCCCCCGGCCCAATTGGCACTTCCGCCCCTTTGCCTTCCAGACCTGCCCTCGCCCCAAGACCCTCGGCCACCGGTGCGGGCACTGGCGCACTCCAAAGTCGTCTGAACTTTCGGCGCCTTTGATTTTGAGCGTTGCGGCACTTTGCGCTCCAGAAAGGACTGCCGCCACTTCTGCCACTTTTGGCGGGCAGCGCTTTGAAAGGCGGGGCGGACTTCAGCCCCGTGGAGTGGATCCTGTATTCTGAATTTGGGCGTTTTCGCAGCAGGTGTGGCCGTATTGCCGGTGCATTTTGTGGCCCTCCATCGCGTGCAAAAGAGGAAGCGTTTGATCGCGGGACGGTCTGCTGGTGAGAAGGGTCAGCAAAAGCCTTGCGCAGCGGCGTTGACCACTTGGCCACAAATTTCGATGCAAAACGCGACCGCTTTTCTCATCGTGCGGAGTGCGGTTGCCATTGGGAACTCTTAGCCCACAGGGAAGAAATTGTCTGCATGGAAGAATCAAAATTAAAATGCACGCCCCGCAAAATAACGTTTCTAGGTATCCCGGGACCCTTATAACTATATAGCCTTGCAAATGTTAACCTGTTTGCTAAATCTCAGACAATATAAAAAGAGTGCACAGGGCATAAATTCATTCTCCTGCTATCATTTACATAATGCTTGTGTCCTGCTGGAAGCTGGAGCTGCCGATTCACGAATGTTAAGCATTGAAATGCTTGATTTGCCAAGTCGACGTCAATTTAAATGATTTCGATATTTTTAGCACTATTGTAGAGTTGTTCAGACAATATCACATGGTTCTTTCATAAATGGACTCACATGTGCGGCTTCCAAACAGCACACTTACTCTGGTGAGAGAGAAACATGTGAAAAATGGAGTATGTGCGCATGATTGTTCAGTGGTTGCTCTGCAAACCTCCTCCTAAGGGATTGCTTAAACTGTCACATTCAAAGCTTCCATTAGAATGCATTAACACATATTCTATCTATGGAGGCAGTATAGCTTTGTAATCTTGAAGCGACCTACGTTTTGGATTACAACATTGGTACACTAATAATGTATTTGATACTCCTTTTGCAGCAATACTCTGTAAACGAAGTATCATAGAATAGTTGCTGTCTTTGACTTGTCGAGATCGTTTGTGAAGTATTTTGAGGTCACTGAGGAGCGGCAGAACTCCGGATATTTCTTTTGCGGCCTCAGCCGTGTATATATATTGCAGAACATCAAACGCATCATTTCCAAAATTCAAACCAGCACATCATTGATATCTGCTTGTTACATTTTTCCATCGCTGAGATGTGCAATCTCAGCGATACTCAGGTTAAATATCCGCCCCTGAGTGTTTGGAGAAGAGGTCATCTAGCACATCAGAATCTTGCATATCGTCATTAGAAAAGATCTCCGAACTAAAGGCCACGTTCAATAGTTAATGCGGATGCGTTAACGCCTGAATTTTGAATCGGCAACCCACCTGAATTTTGGGTTGGCAACGTTGCTAATTCAAAATCCAGGTGAGTTCGATATTGAACCAGTCACTATGGCGTATATTGAGCTCTACTGGGCCACCGCATTTCTGACACAACGGGAAGTATTGCAAAATTTTCACTGTCTTTCATTTCCCAATGCATTGGAGAATTGAGCGAGAAATGAACTTGAGTATCTAAATTATTCATGGGCTGTGATGTAAACCATACCACCTGCCTTGTCTGCTCCTATGCATAAAAGATTTCATAATATGTATTATTGCAAAAATGAAGTCTGATGATGACAGGGGTATCTCTGCTTGCAGCGTGATGTGTTTTATTCGTAGCAAAGCCACGAGTTGGACAAAGCAATTCCCAACAGCCCATTTTCTTGGATCCTTTGCAGGCAGAACTCGATGCACTTGGCACATTGAACAGTATTTCAGTACAAATAAGTACAAGAAAATAGCATAAGTACTAAAACTTATATAATTTCCCCAAAGCAATGTTATTGATCCTCTTTTCGCCAGGAAAGGCGAGCTCAGGAAAATCCATGCGGGAGCAAATGCTACCAGATTTTGAGCACTTGCTATTCAAAAGCTATGGCTTTGGGAGAGATAGTTGTACAGTGTACAACTATGTAGAGTATGTAGTACAGTTGTACAGTGCACGTGTCACGTGCGAAGCCGTTTGCATGTCCCACTTGATTTGATGTTATTGCAAATCAAGTGTTTCAAAGGTAGCTTTGTCCTTAGAAGGAGAGTAGTAAGCATGTCAAATATTGAATTGATGATGTAGTATGTGAAGTACAATGAGGAAAATGGGCCGTGAGAGAAACACCATTCCTATACATATGGTTGTTGTCCATTTATTTTCCAATCAGAATCTACACCAATACTTCTGTGTTGCTCGTTCACGTGGTGATGCAAGTGATTCACGTGTAGCCCTCATGATCAAGGTGATAACATAATAGCTGTCGCAAGGAGGAAATATAGATATTTAACAGCATTGCTGCAATGCTATTTATATATATTTATATCCACGTGTAGCACGTGGAAGTAAGCAACGCCACATGAGAATATCCATGTCCCTATGCGATTGCAATTGCCAAAACCAACAAAAAATGTCTGTGGTTTTTCCTCTACCATTTTTTTGTGTTGCCTTCAATTGCATGCTAATAAATCGATATTAGTAAATGTATGTATCAGTATCATCATGAGCAGGGGCCTATATCAGAAACTATTTGAAATTAACGAAAAACATATTTCCATGTATTAGTACGGCCTTTCACAATTCATCGTGGTCTTCTCTACGCAAAAATATATATATATCAAATAAAGCAACCTTTGATTCAAAGTTTCAGAAGCCGAATCACTCAAGGTGTGATAGCCTCCAAATAAGACACTGCTCTTGCAGGGGAACGCCAAATATATGTGGGTTCTCTTCTCAATGATTCATGCTTCCCAACAGCTGCCAGTATAGTCTCAAAGCAACATTGCAATGCGTTTGTGATCTACCACTCTCATTATTTCCTTGTAGCACGCTACTGACCAATGTTTTGGTGCCAACATTGTATTTTTGCAGATCTACAAAACCTTTGGTTTTCGCATCTTGTGGACGCATTTTAAGTCTTGCGAGACCCCTTAAGGTGGGTATCTAATTCAAGTAATAGAAGTACTAAAGCAGAGCATTTGCAAGGTACGCCATCAATAGATAATTATCTATATTATAACATAGCAGTATTTATATATA